AAACACTAGCCGAAGAAATACAATCGGTGCCGGATGTAGGAGGCGCATAGCATGTATATATATATATATATATATATATATATATAATACAACATGAAGGTAAATAATTTGAAGCGCTGTGCGCTTGTTTTAATCTCATGCTAATGATAATATATAATGTATAATGTTGGCATTGTCGTATAGCAAGAAAAAACTGTGAACACAGAGCTCATTCGGCAATCACATGCTTGCATTCCGCAACCGGAACCGTATGTTTGAGACATAATAAGTGCTTTTTGGTCATGCCCCGTTCTGTCCCATTCAATGTAACCGCTATCACAAGTACAATTCTTTAAAACACACCCCACATGCACCTCAAACTGATAAACAGGGGGACGTGTGCATGCCAAGGGCACTGCGGTTCGCGAAAATTTCGTGAATAGCCCCGTATTTGTGAAGCAAAGGGCTAAACACGGATCGAACACAAATTGCAACAATAATTGCCTGACGAGAACATCAGGATAAGTTTAATAAAATCTAGACTTTTAATGATGCACATGACAACATTGATAGAAAAAACCAATTCGTTTTACGTGAGAATACCATGAATTTTTTTAGTTGTGGCAGCCTGGAAGACAAAAACGAATATGCATACACAAAGTAGTCCACAAATAACCGTAGTGGATGGTTGGATTTGATCATTTGGTAAATAACGTCGTGGGAACTAAATCCCCCAATTCTCTCATATAACACGTAAATCACGTTGGAATGTTCCTAACTGAGTCACAACCCTGGAGTCTAGTGCTGAGATGCGCAAGATGCGATGCCTGCAGTAAGCTCGCAAAGATGGGTTGTGCTATATCATGTACAAGGAAAATGAAAAACGGTTTGATCCGCTACACGGTGGCCAAATGGGTCGTATGCTGACGTTACACCTATGAGGTTCCGGGTTCGATCCCCAGGTTGATCGATAGATTCGCACTGCTATTGAAACGCAGCGAGGTCGAAACAGCTGTTCATTGCTTTCAAGTTTTCAGTTCACGCTTCATTTGCTCTCGACACGAAGAGGTTCACCAAAAAATCCACTAATAACCAGGCTCCAATTTCATTTCCATTCTATTTGGCACACAGCACACGTACTCTTGTAAAGTGACAATAATTACTTCCGGAAAAACGGAAAGATCAATTGAAAGCAATTGTAATAAAGCTTAGAGTAGGTGCAATTTCTTTGTTATTGACGGTCCCGGTTTTCGACAGGATGAGATCTACTTGGCCAACTATGCAGTTTTACACTAGAGTTAAGAACGAAGTATGACGTCATTAAATACACTCTTTTACGATTTATTGTACTGTTTAGCAAGTTCGAGGAGTGCTTTTATTTTATTTTTTTATTTTCTATTAAACACCTAAGTGTGATGAACAGCAGACGGGGCGAACCCCATAGTCACGAGGACCTGCTGTTCAGTGGTGCAAACCGGCAACCTAAGCCCCGGGACTTGGAGTGGCGAAACACATAAGGCCCTGATAGGCTAGGCGTGGTATTGAACCGGACGACAAACACTAGGTCACATCACTCTAATTTCTTTTCTCCATCAACATACTCTGTATTCTATTCGGACTCTGAACCGGAAAACGAATTGTGTTGGACAAATTTACAAACAAAAGCATCAATTTGTGGCATTCAGGTGATTTACGATTCAAACAGCAACAGAAACTGAAGACTGAATAGGAAATCGATTCAGACACATCAGCTGCGGTTGTCAGTGACCTACATAGAACCCAATACTCTATGGCATGAGAATTTTTAGGGATCACACGATTGCAATCCGTCCATTTTCTCCTCCAAATCTATGGCTTGACAACCCCAATCTGGTGCAGGAATTGAATCAACTAATGCTTCTTCTAGTTCAGTGCTATGATTTGGGGAAATTAGAAGTGCCATCAGTCGATGGGGGTAACACATTATTACTGTCGAAACGTATTGGAGTGTAAGAGATATCTGACAGGATTAGCGCTTCTCAGTAGGTAGACTATCATGCCCCTCCGGGTATATTTCATCCCATCGGTCACCATCGTTTACCCTATTATCAACTGTGGTTATAAGAGGTATCACAGGTAACAATGAATAACCGATCGACGCCTACAAGCCTCCAGGAAACAGAGTACAAACAGAGCTAGTTTCTGAAAGGTAGACGAAATCTACTGCCTGATTCGATAATAATAATAATAATAATAATAATAAAAAGAAGTCTGTCTAATTGATAGGGATGTATAAATCTCTGGATTGCTTTTACATCTATCGAATGACGAGCTATCGGAAACCATGCAGCAACCCACTGATATCTTGCGGTGCGCACTTGGAGTCAAATGAAATAGAACAGTGGAATATACTGTAAACATTCATTATTCAGCGTTATCAATTACCAATAGAATGGAGGATTTAGTATGCAAACACGGAGAACTCACCTTTTGTTCTTGTTCACTGGACAGCAAATCCTGTGTCTTAGATAACAGATGATCCTTATTGGACAATTCGTTCTCCAGTGCGGTGATGCGTGCTTCAAGTCTGGCAACTGTGTTTGTCTGGCTGTGATTGGTTGCTTCTGATAAATCTAATTTTTTACGCAAAGCTAAATGCGAGAGTAGGAGAGGTTTGAACAGGAAAGCGACAATCGCAAGTCATTGGTTGTGCTCTAACAAAAACGTGCAATCTCAGAAGTGCGGTAGTTATTCTCGTCTGCAATTTGTCCAGCCAACAATGGTACTTGAAAAATTAGGAAAGTTTAAGACACAGCATTACCACACAAACAAACATTTTATACTCATTGTTGCAAACGATTATGATTGCGGTGTACTGCATCAAACGAAAGGAAACGATAACAAAAAAGAGCATTATTTCGCTTAGAGATGCAAAAATATAACTGTCAATTCTAATCTGCATATTGGAAAGTACTCTTCAGGACCCATTACTCTTGGGCTACCATTTGTGAAACACTACTACGACTCAAAGATACCCTTTAAGGGTCAGAAGTTATTAGTAGCAGCAAAGTTAGGTCATTGTCTTTTCCTGAGAATTACGAAGTAATATTAGAATGATTAGGCAGAATTTCGCAAAAGCACAGCGAAGTATTGCATTGTTAACATCACAATGTTGTAGTTTAATGACAATCACACATTGAAGTCATACAATTATAAACACGCTGGTGATCCCACTTTGGTAACAGGAACATTAACAAATCTCCTTGGATGCAGTGCTTCAAACATATGTGAGAGAACATTGAAGATATGGTACATGCATAATGATAAATATTGTGCTTGTCTTTCTGGCTAACATTCGCCAATCAATGAATAATTTCGATTGTCCAGACTTATTATAATTATATTTCACACTTGACTGAGGACAGACCGTGTGCCAGGCAAATCATAGTACAATAATCTTTATAAAAGAAAAACCGCTCTATGATTGGCTGATTGGCCGACATCCGGGGCTATAACCGGATTGGTGGATCGCTGGTAGTTTACCTAGGGGAGTTGGCCAAAAACCCTGATTCCAAACCAACCACGAGGAGGCGTACGAACCACGCACAACTTCCTGGTTGTGGTAGTGGTCACCGGCTCGACTTGGCTTCGAGTTCGATTGGACACCTTTGACGTTGGAACCCGTCCGAAGGGCGAATGATCCGATGAACTGGACACCATCCCACAATGGATTGCGGCTT